GATGATGATGATGATGATGATGATGATGATGATGATGATGATGATGATGATGAATGCATTTACATTGCCCATATCCACACTCTACAGAATGCTCTATTCGCTTTACAAATAGGCCATTACCCAAGCTGACCCAAGAACACCCAGAAACATTTTCCTCCTGGTTTTACGTTGTGGTTTAAGTTAAGTATTTACGATAAGAGTTAAATATTAAGTTACAACTTTTTAATAATACTGTACATTTTGAAGTAAACTCTAAATATCTTTAAGAAATTGAGAAATCTGCTGGGATGACAATCTTTATTCATCTGACAGGGATCAACGATGGAGAACAAAAATATCATTCTTCAAATTAGTGCCCATTTGAAATAATAATATTATTTATTATTATGTCCGTCGGATCTTTCCGAAAGAGATAAGCAGAAGCGAGCCAGAGGAAGAGATGACTGATAAGACACGCAAACAGGACAGAACTGCTGCTGCGTCTGCTGTGAGGTGAGCTAGGGTCAGACAGGCTACGTTCTGATAGACAGAAGGAAAGAACGGGTCAGAGTGGTTAAGTTCTGATAGACAGAAGGAAAGAACGGGTCAGAGTGGTTAAGTTCTGACGGGAGGAAGGAAGGAAGGAACGGAAGGAACGGACAGTCGAGGCGGAGGGGGGGAGGAACAATGGCCGCCCGCATCGCTTCCCTCTTCTCTCTGATCTGGATTACTTTCTCCTTCAGCGTCAGTAGAGGGGTAGGTGTGACGTATATCCACGTATGACGTGTATGTCCGGGTGTGACGTGTGACCTATGTCCAGGAGTGACGTGTGTGTCCAGATATTACGTGCATGTCTAGGTGTGACGTTTGACCTATGTCCAAATGTGACGTGTGAGGTGTATGTCCAGTTGTGACGTGAGTTCAGATGTGACGTATGAAGGTGTAGGTGTGACGTGTATGTCCAGGTGTGACGTGTATCCAGGTGTGACGTGTATGTCCAGGTGTGACGTGTATCCAGATGTGACGTGTATGTCCAGGTGTGACGTGTATCCAGGTGTGACGTGTGTCCAGGTGTGACGTGTGTCCAGGTGTGACGTGTATCCAGGTGTGACGTGTATCCAGGTGTGACGTGTATGTCAAGGTGTGATGTGTATCCAGGTGTGACGTGTATGTCCAGGTGTGACGTGTATGTCCAGGTGTGACGTGTATGTCCAGGTGTGACGTGTATCCAGGTGTGACGTGTATGTCCAGGTTTGACGTGTATCCAGATGTGACGTGTATGTCCAGGTGTGACGTGTATCCAGGTGTGACGTGTGTCCAGGTGTGACGTGTATGTCCAGGTGTGACGTGTATCCAGGTGTGACGT